GCTGCCATGCCTAGAGATCTCACAGGTGAGCACTCAACTCTAATTCTGCACACCAGATAACAGTGACTGTACAGCTGTTTATGGGTGGTAAGCTTCACCGATTCACATCTGCACACCAGCATTAAGGCTCAAGATCTGATTGCATCGGTTAAAAAAGTGTCAACAGCTTAAAACAGTTTCAAACATCTTTTGGATCAGTAACAATCAATGTATTTATATGTAAATATAAATGTACTTATTAGTAGAGGCCCTCTAGTATTTGGAAATGTGACAAATGATTTTATATTTATTTATTTATCGACTCCTCTCCTCTAAACTTGTTTTATTTCTTTGGTTCTTCTTAAGGAGTTTGAGAAACAAACTATCTCTACCATACTGAATTGCATGGCATCATATTATTTTGCATCGTGTTGTATAGGGGTGAATCATACCACGTTGGTTGTTGCTTCAGTTTTCAAAAGGAAAATCTGAACAAATCCTACTTGCATATCTAAAAGGAGTCAGGGGTTGCATTATTGTATTGTACTTCAAATCCATTTGTGTACATAGTATTGTACATATACAGGCCCAACACACAGCTAAATGAAGTTGTCTATACTTTACTTGTCGCCAGGCTTCTCGCCTGTCTGCACAGAGGTTTAGTCAGAGCATGAATGGTAAACAACAAAGATGTAGAGCAAAGATTAGTGATGAAATGGAAACCACAGAACAGGTGGGAATCTGAAAAACACAAAGACTAACTGTAAGTGTAAAAATGAACCATAAAGGCTGCCTTTCTTGCTGTTTTGTGGAAGGTTGAATTGAACACAACACCAAGTTGTTTTGAAATAAAAATAGTCTCAGACAGTTAAATCGTAATACAAATATGTGAAGATTCAAATTGGTGAGATGAAAAATGAGTTGCGATACTCTTTTTAACAGCAGAGAGGGCTATCTACTTTTGAGTTTGCCTATCAGAAGTTATACGTCACTCAAGTCAGTAGCTGTATCAAGGCTCAAAGACATCAGTTTCAAACTACAGTTTATACCCTGTCTCAGAAATGAAAAAGGATTCTATAATTTGATGAAGAAAATAAAAGAATATATTTTGTAGATTTTTTTCTTCATAATTTGTGTTCAATCTAATTTTATCTTCTAACAAATTGTGTTGTATCATAGCGTATCATTATATCCCTGTGTCTCAGCGATTGAAGCTCATGGACTGTAATGTGGATGATTTCTCTACATTGCCAATGGTTATTCCAACACCACTTCTCATTAAGTGATGATCTTATTTAATCTTTCCTTTTCTTTTCATCCAGAGCGTCACTGGTTTTGGAAGACAGATGATTGAGCAAACCAAACAGCTGGTGGAATCCAAGTACACCATTTCCAATGGTTATCAAGGTGATGCCAAGGTGAGGATGTACATCAGTCACAGCTGTGGCCCACCAAGAATACTGACCCTTTCTTTTTCCTTTTTTGCTGGTCAACTTCTGAGTTAACACATCAGCTTTACTACTTCCTGATGTTTTCAAAGAACCCCCTTGTCTACATGTTGTTTAAATGTTATTTTTTATCTTTAAAAGGTAATTTATGGGGACACAGACTCTGTTATGGTTAAGCTTGGAGTTGGCACAGTGAGGGAGGCTATGGATATCGGGAAGGAAGCAGCAGAGTGGGTATCATCCCATTTCACACCGCCCATCAAACTGGAGTTTGAGAAGGTAACATTTCTGCCCACTTAATTTACTAAAACACTGCACTAATTTCATAATCTGTGGGTGTTGTGATTGAGTTTTTTTTGTCTTTTAAATGGCATGGTTAGAGTGGGTGGAGGCCTCTGAGTACTGGAGTAACAGTGAAATGACACAACATTGACTGATGTCACCCTGTAGTATGTAGAGAAACAATTGTTGGCTGAAACTTATTGAGAATAATGAACAGTTTAAAATGGCAGTGAGCCAGGCTGGTACTTCCTCTCAGCTGAGAGCTTATTTTTTGTCACATCTGCAGGTCTACTACCCATACCTGCTGATCAACAAGAAGCGCTACGCAGGCCTTTATTTCTCCTCCAGTGCAGACACGCATGAAAAGATGGACTGTAAAGGCATTGAAACAGTCCGCAGAGACAACTGCCCTCTGGTGGCTAACCTTATCAACACCTGTCTGCAGAGAATCCTCATAGACAAGTAAACACACATTTTGTACTGAATGCAGTATCGATTAGCCTTATTGTCTGGTTGAATCTAAACTACACTAAGAGCTGTTAACTAGTAGTGAAAGTAATCACAGCTGATATGATGGTTCATCAGGGATCCCCAGGGTGCTGTGGCTCACGCTAAAGAAGTGATCTCGGACCTGTTGTGCAACCGCATCGACATCAGCCAGCTGGTCATCACCAAGGAGCTAACGCGCACCGCCCAGGAGTACGCTGGCAAACAGGCACACGTGGAGCTGGCTGAGAGGTCTGATTAACCAGAGTGACCTCACCCATTATGCAAATCATACACCAGGGGTCAAGTGTTTTTTGTGTGTCTACGTGTGTCTGTGTGTGTGTGTCTGTGTCTGTCTGTGTCTGTGTGTGTGTTACATGGGTGAAATTAATTTAGCTGTTTTACAGGATGAGGAAAAGAGATGCCGGCAGCGCCCCCAACCTGGGAGACAGAGTTCCATACGTCATCATCAAGGCTGCAAAGGGAGCAGCAGCATACATGAAGTCAGAGGTCTGTAGTGTTTGTTTGTAAATAAACATGTTTTGATTTTTTCATTTCCCTACTCTGCTTTTCTATATCCCCATGATGATCCTGGTTCTTGTTGCTTTAGGACCCGATCTATGTGCTGGAGAACACCATTCCCATCGACACACAATACTACCTGGAGCAGCAGCTGTCTAAGCCTCTGCTGAGAATATTTGAGCCCATCCTGGGAGAGAGCAAAGCAGAGAGTGTCCTGCTCAGTGAGTTCAAATCCAAACACATCATAGTCTTGTTATTAAAATGTAGTCAATTAGCGCCCACTCTAATTCTCAATAATTGTGTATTAATAAAATGTCAAGTGGAGTGATCTGTTGATTAAAGCACAACTTAAAAAACAACAATTAATTCAGTAATTTATAGTTCTACCATGAAAGTAATCAGCATCTTATCTTTCTGTGTATCACATGCAGAAATCTAATGGGTGAAATGTAACATTGCCAACATGCTAACAACCAAAGCAGGTGTCAAAGCTGCACATTTAAAATGATGAAATACTTGTCCCAAAAGATATAGTATAGATGTGCTACTTGTGTAAATGATAATCTGCATGTTAAATCTTCTCAAACTTTAAAGTCTAAACGTTGCTGTTGATTTTTCTGGTGTGTTTCAGAGGGTGACCACACACGCTGTAAGACTGTGTTGACCTCAAAGATCGGGGGCCTCATGGCCTTTGCTCAGAAGAGGAGCACCTGTATTGGCTGCAAAGCTGTGCTCAAGACGGATGGTGTGTGTGCGCTCTTTTCAATCTTAAGATTTGTTTTCTACTTTGATATCAACTTAATGAGGTTAGGTGTTACTTTCACTATCTAACGTGTGTGTGTGTGTTACTACAGCGGCTGTGTGTGATTTCTGTAAGAAGAAGGAGTCTGAACTGTACCAAAAGGAGGTAGGCGTATACTTTGATATGTTGGTTTTAATTAACAGGACTCAGCTAGGTCCCAGCTTGATGGAAAGCTTTAATATCTTATTTTAAGCAATGGCTGTGTTGGGTTAGGCATCATACTGGTGGCTCCTCAGAGCTCAGGGACTTTGATATCAAATGGATTTAAGTACACATAAACAGCCTAGTTGAATTTCAAATCTAATTCAGTCTCATTTTGTAGTTATTTGTGCTGCTGTAGACTAGTGTGCTGGTTAAAGATTGTTTTAATTTATCAACATAAGAATTAAGGGGGTAATATCTGAAAGCACACAGGACCCTGCCACCCCCCATCATATCTAACATGTCGGTTGTAAATTACAGATATTTCACCTGAACACCTTGGAGGAGCGTTTCTCTCGCCTGTGGACTCAGTGTCAGCGTTGTCAGGGGTCCCTCCATGAGGATGTGCTCTGTACCAGGTACATACACAGCACATATTTTATTTAACCCTGTGTTTACTGCAGAATTATGGCTGAGCACACAGTGGCAGTCTGTCATGTCCTGTAACACTGTCCCTCCTGACTTCTCTGCAGCCGGGATTGTCCCATCTTTTACATGAGGAAGAAGGTTCAGAAAGATTTGGATGATCAGAGCAAGCTGGTATCTCGCTTTGGATGGTGACAGACCCACTCCCCCATTCCTTGTGTGCCTCAGTTCAGATGACCTTGGACTCTTTAGCTCATTATATTTGTTTCTATGCTTTTTGGTGCTTGTAAAAATACATATGTCACACTATTTCTATGTTTTCTACTATGAATAAACTGACTTTAAGTAGTGTCTTTTTGTAACAATAAAATGAAAAAGCAATCTCTTCCTTTTGGACTCGTGTGATCTTTGGTTATTTTAGGTCATTGCAAAGCAGCATTTACATACAGGATGCTAAACCACACTGCTGACCACAACAGACAGTAAATACACAGTACGCCTGTGTGTGAAGAGCTTAACAGTATGAACCTGCATGTTCAGCTTTACATGTGTGCATTCCCCAATCTTAATTTGACATCAAAGTAAAAGTAGAGTATACTTTTTACAGAAATGAAAAGAGGAACTATATTGGGTTATTGTCTGTCAAACCTCAAACCACATCTTTTCCACGCTGCTGAACTAAAAACTCAAAAAGCCTTCATCGTTTTTAACTTGATGGCACAAACGGGAGGTAATGCTTGCTCTTGAAAGGCCTGAAAAGATGAGATACAAATCAGATCTGGTGTATATGCACCACAATCCCTACTTAGCATGAGCTATGTTCTTGTGTCCTACATCTACTTTTGAAAATACATTTAACCTCTTAAACGCCTTACCAGTAAAGACCCACCTTGGTAAACAAAACAGACAACACGTAAAGCTAAAAGACGTTTACTTGTTCATTACAGCAGAATGCATTAAAGGTTTTACATAGCTGTCAGTGAGAGACTTGCTTGGATCAAATCAAGTTTTTAGAGTTACTCCATATTTTAACAATGGAACTACATTATGTCCAGGTTTAACACCACAGCAAAGTCTGAGTCCTTCACGGATGGATTCACTGGAGTTAGCCCTCTGAACTTATAACTTCAGTAAATATGTGGACAGCGGTTTCTTAATGCAAATGTTTTTTAAATTGGGAAAAGCTGTTGGTAATGCTACAAAAATAGAAATCCATTACATTTAGGGTGAAATTATCAAAGAAGACAAACATTGCTATAAAAAAAACAAAAACTGATGCCCTATTGAATATCCTTCTCATCCAGCCTCACGTATGATCAAATAACGTGACTGCCGCTGTGTCTCTGGAGATTTCTCACTGAGTTTAACACTGGTTTCATCATCAGTGTGGTTTTAAATGTTTGTAGTACCACATAGATATCTGCATGTGCTACGTGCTCTGCTCGAGTGTGGTGTAGCATACACAGTGCTTAGACACTGCAAGCAACACAACACTGGGACTGACATAAAAACAATGCTTTAAAAGTGGACTTTGGAATACAGTGACTGTGAGGAACCAACAGCAGGGCTGACACTTCAAACTGTAAGTTAATGATAGCGTGAAGTTCAGCTCTGGGTTTGTTATTCCTCCGTTCCTGATAAAACACTATATTCCTGAGGAAACTTTTAAAATGGCACTAACTAAATCCTAAATTCTACAATAAAAAAAACATAATAGGAAATTAATAAAGTGCACCTAGGAGTCTGGAACACAATTTTGAGGCTTTGATACTGCGGTGACCCAGTCTTAATACAGCCTTTTCATTTAAATGTAGTCTTTGAGAGACACACACAACAAAAAAAACAAAACAAAAAAAAGATATTGCTGGTGTGTTTCAAGCCCCAGAGGACACACTAAAATATGAAAAACATGGAGGGAGAAACAACTTTTTCTAAACTCTTTCGACCAATCTATCCTAGTCAATATGACACTAGTATTAATGGAACTTCATGAAGTCAGATTTGTACTGAGCAATCACATACATCACAAATTTCAGCACACTAAACAATGTTTGAATCCTGAAATACTTTTCTGAGATTTTGATGTGAGAGTGCAAAGTGCGGTGAGGCACCACTGTGAGCCCTTGACCCCTAACTAGTCAACAGGAGCTGAGCTGTGTATAAAAACACCGGCTGGACAAATAGCCCTTTAAAAGGTTCTTGGGGAAAAATAGAAAACAATCTTTCTACCACAGACTCAAATTAAGTTTGGGCAATTTCTGACCTTAACCAATAAGAAAAAAGAAAAAAAAAATCAATTGCAGTTTCTAGTTGTTTGGGCTTTAAAACAAAAACTTAAAAAACCCAACAGAATTCACAGCGTTAAATGGGAACAGCACGTGGATGAAATAAATGGCTAATCTCGTTAACGTACTGTAAGTGGAAACTGTGACAGCAGTAAAAAAAAAAATTTTTTCCTCGTCTGCTACCCGGTCCGGAGCTGTGCCGGACCCCTCCGCAGTGACAGAGGAGGTGCAGTGTGTGAGGGGGGGAGCATGAAACAAGTGCTGTAAAGGATGCTGTTGGTGTGTGCAGTTTGCTATAGTATTATGCAACGTCTCTGAGTGTTCTTCTTGCTCTTCTTGTTGCTGCGGTTGGTCTCCTTATATCTTCTAATCTCCCTTACTAGCGAATAGAAAGCTTCCTCCACACCCTGCAAGACGCAAAATTTAAATGTGTTTGATAATATTTTGGTTATTAACAGTTTTATTTCAGGTATTGATTTGCAGATGTCCTCTTTGCTCAAACAAGGCTCATGCATGCACTGGTGCAAACTACATACCTGTCTGGTTTTGGCAGAGGTCTCGACAAACGGTACTCCGTAGGTTCGTGCTAGCTCCTGCGCCTGCCGCGTCTCCACAGTGCGGGTACTCAGGTCGCTCTTATTCCCCACCAGCACCATGGGAACACTGTCACTGTCCTTCACCCTGTTGATCTGCTCTCTGAGGAAGAGACACATGCACCTAAGAGACTGAGGCCACCCGACTTACTATCACTGATCTGGGTCAACTGCATCACCTGCTCTCATGATCTGTGTTAACATTCAAAATTTTCCCCAACAGGTCAGGCAGAGGCGCTGAGCTTTGAGGAGCATGTGTTTGCTGTGTGTGGCTGTAAGTGCGTGTCAATTGTTTCGCTTAAAAGATGACAAATCTGTCGTCTTTGCAACACCTACTCTTGTCTTCAGTAACATATTTGGGTCAGTTAGAAAACGTGAACCAGTGTACAAATGACCCCACAGAACTTGTAACCACACGTAGCGCGTTGGTAGATATGAATTACAGATAATTACAAGTTCAGTTCCTGCTACTCAGGAAGCAGCCTTTGTAGAGCTAGATTGTCTCAACCTGCACAGTACACTATACACAATTGGATTATTGACTATGCCAAGTTACACAACTAAAATAGACTATTAGTCCGTGTTCCTTTCTCCAGCTGTGTTGTATCACTGTACTAGTCTGTGGTGGTGGTGTGTGAAGCATCTTGTACCTGTAGAGATGAACGTCCTCGAAGGACTTGGTGTTGTTGATGGCAAACACACAGAGGAAGCCCTCCCCTGTCCTCATATACTGGTCCCTCATGGCGCTGTACTCCTCCTGACCTGCAGTGTCCAGGATGTCCAACAGACAGGTCTCTCCATCGATCACCACCTGTTTTCTGTACGAGTCCTGTAACACAGCATTGACATGATCATGCAAGTGGTGCCAAGAGTACAAGCAGTACGTCTGCCAAGAAATCGGACAGTGGATTGCATCATATTCATTCCTGAACAGTCACACAGCTGCGTCATGTAGCAACAAGACCTTGTTGAATGGAATGTTTGTAATGAACTTACAGAAGTCTGAAGACTTTTTTTTAAACATCGAATACTAAACCATACCATTTACCTACAGCTTGACATATTTAACGCCGTCTGCACAGATTTACTACCAACTTGTGCTCATTTTTAAGCAACAGTGAGATAAACAAAAGAGATAAGGAAGATAGATGATAGACAGAAAAGGGGGAGAGAGAGGGGATGATGACGCAGCAGAGGGTCACAGGTCGGACTCAAACCCACGGTCGCTGGAGCAAGGACTCAGCCTTGGTACACGGGGCAGCAGCTCTACCAGTTGAGCCAACAGGGCACCCCACTTTGATGGGTTTTACCAGGAATTACCAACTTTAAGGCAACATCTCGAGGGTTGTGGCAGATTTTCACAGGTCTGACGGTGCTGCAGATATCTGACAGCATGGTCAGCTGTTTGCTATGGTACCACTGTGCATAGTGACGTTTCACTTCACTGCATTTGTTTGACAGCTACTTTGCAGATTCAGATTTTAGATACATATCATGTTTAGAACATATGATCCGTTTATAAGATATGACGCATTGTTACAGAATAAACTGCAGTTATAATTAGCTTCCACCTAAACCAGCTACAACATTAATATGCTTCTTTACACACTAATGGACCAGTAAGAATAATCCTACAATGTAAAATATAATAATATGACTGACAGAGGCCATTCTTCTGCATTATGCAACACTCAATATAACTAAAATATACTTAATTGCTGCAGTAATACTTTTACACTTTTAAGTTAGGGTTTTAATGCAGGACTTTTACTTGTAATGGATTATTTTCACATCATTGTATTGTTACATTTACCTAAATTAGTTGGATATGTATTATGTCATACACACACAACTGCCCAGCCTGTGTTGACTCATAAGGCAGTGAAATACCGATACACTGGTGAAACATCTATCAGAGAAAAACACTCCAGCCACAAGTTTTGCTAATTAAATATTATAAAAAGGTAAAGATAAAGGAAGGATCGGACTACTTTCCCCACCACTTGTTATTCCACTTAACTCTTGACTTACAGCATAAGGGACTAACATCACGTCCTGTGTCCTGTATCCTCTAACTCTGATGTGACTTTGCATTTATCTAAACCTTTAAATCCAGATTCACTTACAGGTACAATGTACAGAACTATAGACCATGTAGTTTCATGTTAAACTGCAGTTTCCACTACTCTTCCCACAGGACAAGGGGTTGGTCTCTCACCTCAATGGTTGGATCATATTCATCAACGAAGTGGTTCTGGATGAGCTGGATGGTGAGAGCGCTCTTCCCCACACCTCCTGCCCCGACCACCACAAGCTTGTACTCGGTCATGCCTGGAAAGGATTAAAGCAGCAGGGTGGCCGTGATTTATCAGCCCAGTATCAGGTGAACATGAACCAATCTGACAGCAGCTGATGTTTCCCTCTTCCTCCCTACACCGACATGGCGAAGAGCCTGACCCAGATTTAAGGTGACTGTCCGCTGACGTTAGTTGACTTCATATACAACGTTGATCTGCTTTATAGTCACTGACTCGATATGAATGAGTGCTGGTGGTAAAAGTGGAGATTGCTTGAACGTACTTACCTCTGTGTAGGATTTCTAACAGTCTGTGAAATGATAGCTGAGTTTACGAATGGATAAATGAGATTAGCTTGCTACATAACGTTAGCCTGAGACGATTTCCTCATTCACAACACTTACAGACAAACTTCAGGATTTGTCCCAAACTTGTTTTTCTGACAAGAGTTCCGTGTCAAAGTGTGAACCGCGGAATTTGCGAAGCTACTAGTAAATGTCTAACTTCATGTTATAAAAGTATTAAACGCCTGAAGTCGGACAAGTTCCTATTTAGTCTAGTTGAGGTTCATTGTAAGCAGAGCGTCTTCACGTTCATTCCTCTCGCCGAACAACCAATGAGCCGACAGCTTTCAGACTGACGTTGCAACGGACCAATCACAGTGGAGTTTGAGCTCGTATCCCCGCCCACAGCTAGCGTACGCGTCCAATCGCAATTAGGAGTAGCCCTAATTGGGCGTGGTCTCTCCGGCAAACTTGTACGTCTCACACAGATGGTTCTTCTCAACTCCACATCGTTCAGCTATCTATACTGATGACTATCAACAACAGTATTCAGGCTTATGTGAGTGCTATTGTAGTCTGTATTATCAACCAGCTCCAAACACTATGGACTCCTGGATCATGTAGTTCTATATAATATCTTTAAGGATGTTTTCCCACCTTCATTTACACATTGAGCTGTGAACATTATTATTATTATTCAGAAAATGTTCATCGGAAAAGTTCATCTGGTATTGCGTCTGCTTTTACAGTATGTAGAGTTTATATGAAACCAGCCTGCACCAGAGGACAAAGATCTAACTAGCTGGTGAACATAGTGGAGTATTTTCAGATAAAGACCCAGATAAGTCCTTCAGAACCAAAGACAGTGAATATTCAACCCACATTCAACATGTCGCCCCTCCAGAGATGTTCATTCATACCAGGCGCAATGCAGTTTAGGCTGACTTGAGTATATAGAATTACGTGTGTTTTTCCGCCATCTAGTGGCCACAGGGCTGAACTGCAGCGCTACATTAAATTAGTCTAAGAGAGGAGTAGCCATTGACAGTATATATGGGAGTAGCATGTTGCTGCAGTAGAGGAGGCTGCAGGACCACAATCCTAGGACCGATACCACTTCCCTTAACTGTTTCAAAATGAACATCAAACTGAAGCAATCAGAAACTAAAAGCACCGAGGACTTCACCATCATTTCCTGGGAAACTTATTCAACAACATGTAGAGATCTTTCAGAATCTGTAAAATGTATTATAATGCTGTTTCTTCATATTTACAGGGAGGATTGAGAGAGGCTCAAACAGGATGTTTTAATTAATAGTTGAATATCTATTTCGAGTGTGTATATCGATTTAAAGTGCTTCCTAAAGGTTTACTTTGAGTTATACTGCACTGGACACACACACACACACACACACACACACACACACACACACACACACACACACACACACAGAGAGAGAGAGAGAGAGAGAGAGAGAGAGAGAGAGCAGGCCCCACCCTCTGGTCCGTCATCCTCACTTCCGTTGTCTGTGACGTCCTGTTTCTCCCTCACTCTCCCACTGAGTGCATCTGCTCTCCTATCTAATCTTTGCCTAAAATCACAGAGATAATCCTGCATCCATCTGTCCTGAGAGAAAGACAGAAAACTGACTTTGCGCTGTAATGATGTAAAAAAAAACTCAACACTAATTTAACGCGTCATGATGACATGATGGTGCTGAAATAGTGACATCATCTTAAATTGCTTGAATTTTATTATACACAAGGATATCTCACATATACATCTTTTATACATAGAACATTTTTGCATGTTTAAATATGATCATTTCCTTTTTTTATTTCTACACTGATTCCCACCACACATTTCATCAAGAAAGAGGAGGACAACATTGGAACAGCCATAAACTGAGACAAAGAGAAACTTGATTAAAAATACACCGATACAACACTTAAAAATAAAATTGTTCACAGGAATAATCATTCATGTCTTTTAGACATTTCACTCAAAACACAATTTGCCTTAATCACTTTTTTAAAATCATTTATTGACATACCAACACATTTTAACATTAAACCCTCATTTGAATCACAGAAATTATTTTTAACATTCCAGCAGTGTATTTTTTCTCTCTTACAATAGTTAGTTCACATCACAAACCCTCAATACGTGTCTGGAAAAGAGCCATCTGTAAATGTACTTTTAAATAAAAAAATACTGCGTGCTGGCATGACCTGTGAGTACACACAGAATACAGAAGTTGTGTGTGTGCATGCACACGTCGTTTCATGTCTGAGTATGTTGGCTCTATCTACTGTATGTGCAGGCGCAAAGAGTTGTACTGTGCAGCCCGTACATTATGACAGTTCCTCTCCTGTATGAGAATGTTAGCGTCCTCTAACTTTGGACTCTCCACTCCTGGTTTAACACGAGAGGAGCTGATGTGACTGGCCATGATTGTTACCATACCTTAACACACCCACTGATGAATTAAGTTTGATAACTAGGCTTGAGAGCAAAGACCACGCCTCGATCACAACCCATTGCTGCACAAAAAGTATTTACGCACACTTTATCAGTTGTTACATCCCTCCCCTTCAAATCCCCCCATTCTTCTCTCTGACCTTTGCTCAAATACAGGAACCACTGGGGCTCAATCCAATCCGAGAACAGTACGTACTCAGAAAAGCAACTCTCATAGTTCTCTCCTTTCTTCCTGCCACCAGCTGACACTGGTCCATCAACATACTCATCCATCCATCCTACCACAACCCTGATTTCTTTCCTCATCCCTTCACCCTTCACCCCTCACCCTTCATCCCGTTATACCTTCATCCATCAACCTTCATCCCTTTGTCCCTCACCCTTCCCTCCGGATCTTCAATCCATCCCTCCTACACCATCTCCCTCTCTATCCTATTATGCAATAAACAATTCTAAATCCATATCTTCATGGGCGTGGTCTTTATTAGTGAATATACGATCATAGATCCTTCCTAATCCCACCTTGTTTCCATGGGTGCACTTCACACTGACAGCCATGTAAATACCAAATAGTGTGCCACCACTCCCTCTGCACAGTGTGCATGGTGCACTTGACTGTGCTTGCATGAAATTAGCATCCTGTGTGTTTGTGTGTAAAAGGAAGAGAGGGATGGCGGGGTGCTGCACTGCTGTGCTCATTAAAACATGCTCACCGCACAATGTTTCAGCACCTGCACCCAACACAACAACACACTCACTGTCACACACACACCCACACCCACCCACACACACATAGACAATCTGAAAAGCTCTGACCCACAAACTCAAACATGACTGACGTGTAGGTAGTAAAGACATGGAAACAGAGGAGAAGATGGAGAACGTCCTGTTAAATGCAGGGAGGAAGACAGAGGGAGAGGCCGCCACAGAGACACAGAAAAAGGCAGAAACAGAGGCAGCATGTGCTGTGATGCCTGGGAATATTATATGTTACTCACTGGTTAAGCAGTGAAACAGTACAGCAACTATTACACTCTACTTGTCATTCTGGGCCACCTCTCTAATGGGAGCGTACACACCGAATGGAAAGTCACAAATGTCAGATGATTACTCATGTGACCCATGAGCCTGGATGGACTTGACCTAGTTAGGTCAGACCCAGGTGAGATTCAGCTAGACGCCACATGCAGCTTTGTGCTCAAACACACACCTTTGCACATTCAAATGCACACACACATAAAGGGGAGAAGGTTGCAACACAAGCCTTAACAGCTTTACACACACATACACGGACTGATACGACACCTATGCACCTTCTTCCTCTTTGAATAGTTTGAAAGTGGTTTAAAACACGCCAAATTCTTTCCACATAAATGAACCCATGTTGACGACCACATGCAAGCATACCTTGAATTATGAATGCTTTGGAAACATGTTTTAGAGGTAAAGGAAAGTTAAATGACTGCATCTCCAATGTCTGGGCATGATTGTGTTTAGTTTGTGTATTGATCAAATGCAGAAATGTATTATCAAATGATCAATATGACTTCTATTAGGTCTGTGAGCCTTCAGGGTAATACAGACTAGACACATGAGTGTGAGCAAGGTACAGTCATGACTTCACATTTAGTAATTTGGACAATTTTTTAAGCTCAAGAGGCCCCAAAGGTGCTTTCCCAGCAAAAAAAGTAAACATGTGGCTCACACATAAAAATTTAAATACAAGACAATGCCAGTGGCTTGAGAGAGTTGCTGTACAGGCAGAAAGCCCACCTCACACACACACACACACACACACACACACACACACACAGAATCTCCTCAGTGATGTGGAAACAGATCTCCTGGCCAATCACAACAAGCTCAGGACCAGGAAGGAATCTGGGACATAAGTTCAGTTTTTGCAAATGAATACTGTATGTGTATGTGTACATTAACAACTCTAACACCAGCATGCACATGCCTACACACTCGCTCGCACGCACGCACACACAAACAACACACACAAACACACACAATGGAATGAATCAGATCCATACTTATTATTTGTGCAATTGTAAATATTGTACAAAAGCACACAGCAGGTCCATTCAGTATAGCAGTGACTCTCTTACAATCCCTTTCCCCAAAACAATTTTCCTCTTTTCTTTATCTTGTTTCTGTTTTTTAAACTTGAACCATGTCACTCTTCTATGTCAGCTCCCTCTCCTCTTCTCCCCCATACATGTAAGAGTTGTATCCAGGCGGCTGCACATACTCCTCAGACTTGTCCCAGTCCGACACCCATCCAGGCCCAGCTCCTCCTCCTCCTCCTCCTCCGGCCCCTCCTCCGTTGGAACCAACAGCTGGTTGGCTCATGGCTCCGTACTGCCCGCCTCCGCGGTAGAGCTCCTCTGTCTCATTGGCCAGTTCATCCTCATCAATAATACCGCACTTCTCTTCGCTGGTGTCCTCTATGTCTGCCCACGGCTGCTTTTCCCCTGATGCAAAGAGTCCTAATGAGAAAAAAATATAATTAGTGTTCAGACAGAGCTCTTCTGAACCTGCCTCCCCAAATACTATATTCAAAGTCAAGCCATACCATAGAAAACCACTCCTCCATAATGAACGAGGGAAGCTATAAGGAAGACACCCTGCCACTCTTCACGTGTCTGAAAAGGAACGGAAGTGAGTCCAAGAACATGTTTGCCTAATCTCCTTTTCATTAAATATGAATACTGTTTAAAGTTTTATACATGGCATCGTGAAGTTGATACAAGTGAATCATTTTTACCTTGTGTTTGGTCATGGCTCCAACTATGAGAGGACACACCATTCCAGATAATGTTCCCACCCCGTTTGAGATGCCCATCAGTATGCTGGCATATCGAGGGGCGATATCCAAGTGATTGACATTAAACCCTGAGAGAAAGAACAAAACATACATCATTTCCACCAGTTTCTAAAGTTGTTTTTAATGTTACTAAAGCAGATTTTCATGGTTATGGTTAGAAAAAAAAACAATAGAGTACAAAAGAGTAAAGGGAAATCAATTAGGGGAGAGATTTACTGTTGCATTTTTAATCATCATGAGTTGTCAGCAAGTCAGATACACTTGTGTGTGCAGCAAATATGTTGCTACAGCCAGCAGCTGGTTAGCTTAGATTGGCATAAAGACTGGAAACAGCTAACCTGGCACAGTGGACAGTTTGTTGTTTTATAGTGGTTATGTTTCAGACTATTTCTTTGCCTCGCAAGAAACAGTACGACACACAACCCTCCTAAAACATTTCACATAACACATCGTTTTTTTCAGTTTTTACAATTCGTCTTCTCCTTTTTTTAAACAGATTTACCAGACGAGATATAATGTGTTATATATTGAACAGACAGATATCTGAGTGGTATTGTTCTTCGCATGTAATTCCCTGCAAGAAAGTGTGCAAGTGAAAATGTCAAACTATTGCTTTTAAACATGGGCAACTAATTATTTTTAACATACAATTTATCTCATCAGTTGTTGATTTGATCATTTACACTGAACTCATTCAGAGCTACACTGTTGAAAGGTGACATAACCGTAGATCTGTTTAAATCAGGGTTTCAGCATACATAACATCTTTTACCTGAGATAGCAAATCCACTGAAACCCACAGCGAGGACCAAGAAGGAAATTGCGATTCCTTTTGTGTGAGAGTATCCCACCACCAGCAGAAGGGTGGCCTCCATTCCAAAACCTGGAACACGTCCACGTAAACACATCAAAAACAAATACTATCCACAATACTAATACAAAAATATTAATGATTCCACTACAGGCAGCTGCTGCACTTCAAACACTGTGAATGAGTGTTGCTGGGTAAAAAAGTGCCAGACAAATAATGTTACTATATGTTACAGGTCCTTAAGATTTCAGGAGAATTATGTAAACCATTAACAAATACATAAAAACCACACTTGCATTCCTGTCGTCACTCAGAAAGTTTCTGAGGATTGTTGCTGATATTTTGTAAAAGTCTTTTATCTTTCTTCATGTAATGTCTACCTGATGACAAGATGAAGACAGTTCGGCTTAATTGATGTGCTTGTGTCTGAATGTCAGGGGGCAGATATTGTGCCACACTTTATCCAGACAGATGTGTAGTCTTGAGCTTTCTTTTTCCGTCTCACCCTCCTCCAACTGTCACCCTTTTCTGTTTGACACTCTCACCTCCACAGTTCATGAGCTTCCTGACGTTGGTGGTGGACATCAGGTTGTGGGTTCTCAGGTAGTCTGCCAGCTGGCCTCCAATAGGCACGATGATGGTCATCACCAGATGGGGCAAAGCTGACACCATGCCCACCTGACAGAAGAAAGGAGACAGAGAGTGTGTGAGAAAAGAGACACGAGAACAGTGTTTTCATTACTAGAGTATAACAATGAGAGGCTGAAAGTTGAAAGTTCAGTTTTGACATCCAAACTAGATTTATCTTTTTGACTCCATACTATAAGCTAGCTTGCTGTTTACATATCAGCCCATTTAAACTACTTTATCAAAAACCTCAGTGTGTCGGGGGTAACTGTAATCGTCACTCTCAGGTGCTTTGTAGAGCTGGAACTCTATTAATAGTTGAATTGTCGGAAACTGCTCATAAAATGTAGGATCAGATTCACACAAACCCACACCTGAAAAGGGAATTCAACCTGGGTCTTATTTTCTTAATTGTGACTGTTCTGAATAAAGGTAAGGATAATGTAGCACTAATCAACTCTATTGTAGGGATTTGGGAAATAGGTCTCAAATACCAAATACAAGGCTCTTAAAGCTTTTCAAATAAAGTTACATTTTAAATAAACCATTTAAAAAGCTTTGAGGTGACGAGCGTAAAGTTATTATGACCCACAGTTAGAACAGCCAGAGTCTTGATAATAAGACTCAGCAGTGCTCGACACTACACTGGATGAACAGGAATACTGGTTTTTATTTCCTGTATGATATGAATTGTTCATATACCACTGTACTATTGCTCAGCTAAAACAACTGCTGTAACTCATTTGTTTCTTGTGCAACAGAACATTTAAATACGTTAAATACTTTGAGTTTGTTTGTTTGATTATTTATTAAGATCCCCATCAGCTTCTGTATAACAGTCACTATTCTTCCTGGGGTCCACACAGTTTATATGGTGGCAATACTATACAAATATACACACTCACTTTATTCATCACAATACACTGACACAACACATCGTAAATGTCTTTTCTATACTATCCTGATATTAGCAGTGTGCACAATAAAAAGTGTTTACATTCTGCAACAGTTTTGGTTACATTGTATTATTTTGTGGGCCCAAGAAAACCCTATAGTAATCAAACCCTTTAGTAGACCTGGATAAAAAATAACAGAATTTCCCTTTAACTCCAGTTGAAGCCGAGACCCTCAGTAAAACTGCTGCTGGCTACATTAGGTGTCTGCAGCTGTGGGTATATTCCAACTCTCAAACTATCGCTTCTGTAAAGAAAGTCTGTATAGATTATATAATCTCACCTTGCTGATCTCAAAGCCAAAGACTTCTTCAAAGTAGGCTGGCTGGCTGATGAGCAGCAGGTAGAAGGTCCAGCTCCTGCAGAAGTTGGCCACAATGATGGCGTAGACTGGCATGGAGGTGAAGAAATGTCTCCATGGGGTTTTAAATTTCTGCCACCAAAAAAAAGAAGATATTACTGATCTCTAGGACATCTACACTATCTGTGTTTGTATGTAGGTCTAAGAGATTCTCAGTGTTAGATTGATAGGTTGCACATGAAGATCAAAGGGCCATACATGGAGAGGATTAAGAAATGATGCAGATTCTCCGATTGCATCTTCAATGTACTTCCTCTCCTCCGGCGTGATGGTGGGATGTGCTGCGGGACTCTCATACGACACCAGAATCCAGAACAAATACCAGAATATCCCAAAGCTGCCTGGGAGAGGAAGAGAGAGAAAGCAAAAGACACAGATGTGAGTACAGTAGAGAAAGAGCAAGAGAGCCAGAGTTAAATGTACAGTAGTGAAAAAGAAAGAGAGAGAAAATGAGAAGTAGATACATGACTTGCTGTTAATGTTGTGAAACTCAACTGTGTTAAGTTTTACAACATCACGAAACGCACAAAATATGTGACCAGCCCTATCTATAGTGCAGCATCTGTAGATATAAAAGGGTAATTCTAAGGTAACAAAAAGATTATGATTGTTTTCAGGTGATTATACACTAATAAAAACCTGTCTATTATTATTATATTACATTTCTGCCAATAGATCCTCCTAAATGTTACACACTGGACCTTTAATGGATTTGGAAATATTGGTATTTAAGATAAGAGTGTTAGAGTATGCATTTTTACTTGGCTGAACTGCCAATAGTACCTCAGTAAGCAAACACTTATTTGAATAAAAGAATACTAACCATACACATAGAATACTGAAGACCACCCAGTGTATTGCACCAGTATCCCAGCTAAAGGCATGGCAACTACTGCTCCTGCATAGGATCCTTAGAAAGCATCAAACATAAAGAAAATATTATTATTCATTCTTCCTATGATCATATGATACTTTTTGCACTTTAAAATACTTAATATATATTGTTATAAAGTGGCCATGGAAATCCACAACTTCAGTTCTTTAAACCTCTTTGCAGGAAGGAAATACTGAATTTTGGGGAAATGTGTAAGTCATGAAACTTTACCACAAAAGGCTGTTGTGGCTAATCGACTTCTCTCAAGAGGAGGCGCCCACTTGGCCCAGATCCCGTGGCAGGCTGGGTATGATACACCCTGAAGGACACAATACAGTCAGGGAAACACTCATGCATGTAGGTAAAGTCTTACAGAGTCCTGCAAGCACAGACACATACTGTACCTCAACAAGGCCCTGGCATATCCTGACCAGTATGACGCAGCTGTAATGGCAGCGAGCAGCAGATGGAATCAGCATGTTGAGGGTGGATGTGGCCACTATGGCAAAGCCAAACACTCTTAAACACACAAAAGACAAACAAGCTGCCTTAGAGCGAATATTCAACAGCAACAACAGCAGCAGAAGAAGGACGAAGAAGACACAAATGCTGCACTGACAAAAGGCTGGTCGTGTTTTTTTGAGAATCTCTGTGTATTTTGATACTACTCTGTGGGAATTGATTAAAACAATTACCCAAATGATTCCCTTTTTCACACCCAGCTCAATTACCCAACTGTTACCCAATCAACCAATTTATAGTAGACCAGATTAAAGTAAAGCCCATATTGGAGAAAATATTGTAAATTCACCTGTTGGCTGCAAATCTTTGACATATAAAGCCCCCCGGAATCTGTGTGACGATGTAGCCCCAGAAAAAGGAGCCGTGGATCATCCCCACTGTCTCAGGGTCCCAGGTAAACTGTGCAGCCTGAAGAAAAGATGTATGGCTTTAACTTAAAGAGCTGCTTTATACATGTAATAAAACATATACAAATAGTTTTCTTGGAACAATAATGTTTGTCTGATATGTTTTTTCAGCTAAAAAAAAGTATAATTTACATATTAAAATCCTTAAAAGGGCATCTACTACTAAAAGTTCCAGAATCTATCAATATTTAGTTTCTTTCTAAAGTTTCCCTGTCGACACAAGATGTCTCCTACTACCATTCTCAGTGTATGTGCACTGTGGTTTCTACATCACAAGTTGCAAATTGGACCAGGATAGATTTCCAAACTATTTGTGATGGTATAAAGAAAACAGAAACAAATCTATGAGGCTTGTCTAACAGTTCAAATGTCCTAATCAAAGACAGACTGAAACAGTAAAAGTGAGTACAAAACCTTTGATTTCGGTTTCGCCACTTACCACCAGTACTTCCTTGTTGCCTTTGTAGACAGTGTGGTCATTGACCATGCTTACGATGGCCACACCCAGGTTGCACCGGATGCCAAAAGAGATGCAGAATCCCAGGCCAGACAGGATGGCGATGATGTACCGCCTTGGCAAGCCAAAGCAGGTACAGTCCACCACTGGCAGCTCCTTCTCCTCCACCAGCTCAGGACGGCCCTCCGCTGATAACTCAATGGTTTCTCCATTGGGCTGCCGCTTCTCAATCAGCCTGAGAGGAGACACAGAGACAGAGAGAGCATGAAGGAAAGGAGAACTACAAGCCAGCCTCTGCAAACACGGAATAACAGGGTACCATGAATCTGTAATACTGATTCTTTACACAGCCTGATTGGGATGATCTGCTTTAACAGTGCAACAATAGCAAAAATATATTATGCATAGAATTCTATTTGTTGGCATTTATAATTTGCTGATACATGCAAATGGTTCAGAACTAATATCTGCTCATTTAAATACCCAAATGTAGACATGAAAATGTAGGTAAGAAGAAGAGGTGAGAGTGCGGTGACAGTGTGGTCACACCTCCGCTGGGGGCAAAAACTTGCATAACATGGAAACAGTGGCTCAAAGGAGTATGGGGAACATTTCCAGGTCAGGTGAGTTTGTATGTAGAGGCTTGAAATGCAGGAAACATGGTGGCCTGCTGTCATCAAACATCTTTAGCAAGACGATAATCACGAGTCTTCTCTTTGTGTACTTTTTGTGGGGTTACCGTGTTATTTTGAGGCTAAAGTAATATATATCTTTTCTTTACACGTTTGTAGAATATGGCTACTTTTCATAGTCTCTCTCTCTGTCTCTCTCTCTCACATACACACACACCAACACACACCTCCATATAGACAACATGCACCATGTTGGGGTCGTGTCTGACTCAGCGTGTCCCAGAGTGTGGAAGCAGCTGTCACTAGCTGAGGAGCAGACTCAGCTACGACAGCACATTCCCCCAGTGTCCGTACCTGCACGACGCCCAGGACGGGCTGCCATACTGTGCTGTCCAAGATGTCCTCTCAGACACAAAGAGTAGCTCTCTGGAGACAGACATCTACCCACATCATATCACTGAATGGACAGACGTGTGCGATTATACTTTGAGGTTGTTCAGACGGTCAGAAACAGAGAGAATGAGAGTAGAGAAAGGCATGATTTTTTGTCTTCTAGATGGCCTGTTTAACAAGCCTGCTATCACTTTGACGATCAAGTCACTGAAGTGCAAAAGAGTGTGATCAATATTTGAAGCGTTTTTCCCAAAATACATCTATTTTGTCAAACACACTAACTTTTTGTCTAAATTTTATTCTTTTTGTCAACCAAGGAACTCCTGCATTTACCTTGTTTGTCTAAGAAGAGACCAACATGTGTTGTTATTTTATGCTTTTTCTCAATTTGTGCAAGACCATTTTTGTGAAATGGCAGAGTCACTTTTTTTCCAAAGGAGTCAAACAGAGACGTCAGGAGAGCGGCCATCTGTGTATCATAACCTCATACTCTCAACAACACACCCCCACTATTAAACACTCACACACATGCATACGGCAGACTTAAGTACACGCTTTCTGCAGATCCATTTTCCTCAGATTAAATCAGTCATAGTGCCACACTCTCCAGTATATATATGTTTTTAACCTGAGTGTGTGTGTCTTTTGGGGTATGTGTGAGTTCACGGCAAAGCACAGTTGTGTGTCAGCCGTCCACTTTCCATTGGGCTGATCCAGTTAGTCAGTGAGCTGGAGAATTATGCACAGAAACAGGCACAATCACCACCAAGGATTTGTTCCATGTGACAAAGGACGGTTGCATTTTTTAAATATAGTTTAAATTCTGAGCTTCAATAACTTTGCAAAACATGTGTTTACTGCATTAAATTGCGCTCTGTTTTTCAAGCAAACATTCATGACAATTCATCTCTTTCAGCACACTGAACCTCCAAGATAACTTATTCACGCAACACAAGACAAGTCAGACTCTGACATTGGTTAATTATTGATGTGTTTTTGGGTGCGATAAATAATTCACTCTAGCTTTTACACCATAATCTGTCACTATCTATCTATCTGTTAGCCTGTCTGTCTGCTTCTCTGCATTTACTCTCATCCCTCCAGTCGTTATATTTCTTAGTTATGCATGTGGATTTCACTCCCTCCCCCATTTCCACACAGCAGACTCTGCATAATCTCTTTATACATCCATGCAATGAGTCAATAAACAAACAAAAATAATAAAAAATAATAATAATATGTAGTAATATAATGTTTTATTAATTAAACCTGGGTCCATTGTGAAATATGGTACTTTTCAAGTGAAACACAATGGACAACAGAACAGTAATACTTAAAGCAACGTTTTGGAATTTGCAAGAGATTAGAGAGGCTGCATCCTCTCTCTCTCTCTCTCTCTCTCTCTCTCTTAATCTGTCACAACATTCAGATTAGGATTACAAAAATGATTTACTTCCGGAAATGAATATGGAAGGACAGCCTAGCGCCGGGCGTGGTTCAGCATGCGTCTCCTTCTATCACGACACACTGCTGAGATCATGCTGGACTTTGATGCAGTGTTTTAGTCCTTTTGTAAATCAGATTGCTTTCATTTGAATGCAGTTATTTTATGTTTTCAACAACACTGAATGATTTCTGCAATGCTTTGCCCCACTGTTACAAACACATCATATTCTTCTAGGGAAAGAGCTGGGTAAATATTTCATACCTTAGATTCATCTGTGTTTGACTGACTTAGTGGTGTGAACAAAATGACTCACAGTGCATCAAACACAAGAGACAGAGTGATTAAATTGTTACCAGTTATGTAAATCAAAGCAATAAGTTGATCACAAAGCTGATGTGACACAAAGGAAGGTGTGTACATGGTTTTCTGTTGAATCAGTTGGCCACACTCACACTGCTGTCCTCTCTGTACTGAACAAATGTGCTGACTTGCCCCCTGAGTGGAGCTCAGTATCCTACTTCAGAGTTTGTGAAGGTTGCAGGAGGATCCTCATTAAACCTCACGACAGATTGCAGCCTGACACCTACACATACGCTACCAGCTAACGAGGCTAGCCCACAGCAAAAATTACCGTTAATTACAGATGCTTCTTGCTAAAAGGCAATTTCACCCTAATGTGTGTAAGTGTCTCACAGTAGCTGACTAGCTGAGGGTCTCCCTCTTCTGATATGGTGTTTTAATGTGATAATAAAAAGAGGCTACTTTCAGTTTGCAGTTTTGTTCTGGCTGTTAAAAAAGGCTGCGTCTTTGAGTAAATAGAGGTATGAGACACAGAGAAAAGTGGACATTTGCCTCCATGTGAGGCTCACAGCCACTCAGCTGATGTAGCGTCTCTTGTTAGCAGAGAGAGGACCTGATTGGTCTCAGCTGGCAACAATTAATGAGCCAGAGAGCGTGAGCAGGCAGGAGTCCCGTGACCTCAGGCTCGCTGAAATATCATAATTACAATAGTAACAGGCTCAGTGGAGACTCAGTAACTACTCACACCTCAAACTGAGCTCATATTTGTGCTAGTCACCTGAGTACAGGAAGCAAAAGTCAACCTGATAAAGTCCATAGTGGTTTATTCTAACAAATTAAAAAACTTCAGTGCTTTTATAAACTTAACTGTGTAACATTGAGGTGGATCTATTGGCAGAAATTAAATATAATATTCCTAGGTATCTTTTTAGTAGTGTACCTGAAAATAAGAATTGTTGTTTTTTTGTTACCTTACACCTTGGAAGGCTGAGCTGTATTCATCTGGTTGTAATCTGCAACTTCACCACTAGATGCCACTAACCCTAACTTATCTTAAGTAGAGCTGCCTAAAACAATGCTCATTTGCATTTTCGACTTAAGGTGGGACTAATACTAACAATTATTTTCATTAAGCCCAAAATGATGTATTTATACAACATACTTTATTAAATGAACAGCCCAAAAGATATATTGAGTTTATTCATATATATGAAAAACAAATGCTCAAATCCGATAATCTGTAACCAGCAATGCTTTGGCATTTTTGCTTAAAAAATTACTAAAACTATTGTTTGACTATTATATTATTATCAGTTGCAGATTAGTTTTTTGTTGATCAATCACCTAATTTGTGATTTTGCAATAATATATGAGCTATGACAAAAAACACTGTGACTCTCACGTGCTGGTTGGTGACCTGGGACTTTTGTTACCGTGTATATTAAATTCACCAATTCACAGAGCGCTCTGTGTAATCCTCTCATAAGAGGATGATGGAGAGGAAGAGACAGACAGCAAGGGAGGTCGACAGTAAAAATATTATATAACGACAGACGCCCTGGTCATTATTTGTCCACATCCGTGTGCTGAATTGTAGGATCAGTTCATTGTGCTGTATGTAAACTATGCTGTTCTTTCCTAATGTCAGCCCCTCTCTTGTCCTCTTTTCTAAAAAATAATTTCCCCCTTATTTCCCCTCTATTTGTAGGTAAGGTGTTTGGGTGGTAGCTTGAGGTCTTTTTTAATTTTCAAACTGAAATTTCTGCAGATATTTTAGTAATTTCAGTAGTGGTGTCTCCCCCTTCCTCCACGAGCCTCTCACTCTCCCTGAAGTGAACAGATTGGGTCTCGGTGGGACTGTGTCACCCAGGGAGACACCCTCCTCCCCATCCTGTCACAAGCCTTTTTTTTCTCTCTCTCCTGTGGACACACAGACACAGACACACACACACATAACATTCAAACACTCACACGTGTGACCTTCATAGACTTATTATCTAAATACTCACATAGTAGAGCTCAATCACTGTGTGTGTGCTGATTGAATGCACACACTGCTTCTCACTACCACTTTTAGACAGCTTAATGATAAACCCAGGGGGGTCATAACATATATATCCTAAAAAAAACTCTTCTCTTCTTGTTTATTTGCTTCCCAGCTCTGTTCTGTGCCACGGCATTAAACCCAAGAACCCATGTCTGCAACATAAATATAAAATACTGATGCACTGCTGACATCATGGATACAACAGCACTGCTGCCAATAACCGCGCATGCTGAGTGTTTGCAGTTGACTTTCCAAACTGCTGAGCTCTGATGCATCCATCCTCTGGGTAGACCCTTCAATAAACCTGTGTATATGTAGCCTCTTCCACACACAACACTACATGTAGACAGAGTGACACACCGGCATAGACAGGCAGGGAGACACAAAGCAGAAGCGTCTCAAATGTGGCATTTTGGAGTCTTTTCAAAAAGACTCCAAGAGCACGCTGTCGGTTCCCAGGATTCACTGAGTGATGTTTTTCTGCCTCAACTACAATGACTGCCAGCAGAGTAGAGTCATCTTTACACCTGACAACCAGCTCAATAGCTGTAACATTAGAACTTCCATTATTCACAGTGTTTGTACTGTAATCATCACAATCCCTAAACTGATGTGAGGTCTTTTGTTAAAATGGACTTTCCTTTGTTTTTCACAGCACTGCATTCGTCATCGTTTTTTTTTCTTTCGTTATGAAAATATTAACCTCTGGCCGTCCAACCACCTACAGTGTATTCTGCAAAAGTGACTAAAGTAAGTTAACTGCAATATTAAATTTCACAGGTGTCCAAAAAACGGGATACAAACCCATCACTCATCAGGAAACCCCTCTGATTGTGCACATGCACAGAGAAATGAAGCCAAGAAGCAAAGCTGCTCGGTCTCTGGGTGTACTTAAAGTATTAATGTCAAGAACATAGTGTAATAAATAATACAGTGATTCACAATAATTCGTACATTTATAAGAATGCTATATGATTCAAATGATGCCAAGTACCTTGCAGTTCTTGTAGTTTGACAAAGCATAAATAGTAACAAATAAATAAGCATAGTTTCATCTCATTACAATTTGAATATTTTATTTAGAACATTTTTCAGACCACTTCGTGAGGTTACTGAAAATGTAGCACTCCACAGCAAGTAAAGTGGATTAAAAATGGATTACCTGTTATATTCTGTATTGCCTTGTGAGTAGTGAAACACAAGCTCTCCTTGTGTGGCCATGCAATCCTACTGATGCAAACAAAAGGCAGATTAATTTAAAAGTCTTTAAATAAACCTGTATGTGGCATTTGTTTTTAGAAACTTTTACACGTAATCAAAATGCTGATGAGAAGACGGCATATTTCATGTAGTGCTGAGGAGTAGTTCCTTGGCACGAGGAGATGGATAGATAAAATGTAGACATTAATTTGAAGATGTTAAAAGATGGAATGGTAAGACTAGAGACGTAGAGTGCACTTGACCTTACAGTGCTTGAGTTTATGCTTACCTAGTGGAGTTTAATATAGAAACAGGAGATGCATTCTGATGGAGAAAATGTTTAAATAATAGATGAACTCCTGGCTGCTTTCATCAGGAGGGATTTTGTCTGAGAGGTGGTGAGATTGCACACAGACACTCATCTATTCACACACTGCGGGGATGTCCTCTGTTCAAGATGCAACATATTCACACAAACACACACACGCACACACACACAGATGCATTCCTCAAAACATACAATTTCCAAATAAAATAACGTTTACTTTTCCTATTGAAACCATTGCCTGCATTTAACACTGCGGCCACATTAAACCAGAGTTCACTGGCTAAGCCGAGCAAACACCCACTATAACCAATCTGGATCCAATCTGATACATCACATCTCTCATAGCATCAGCTGTGCCACGCACATGCACGGCTCACGACCAGTAAGAGAGAAAAAGCCTGAGATTTGCATGTCCGTTAATCTGGGACACCCTGATAGGCTGAAACTTGTCTGTGCTGGTGTCTCAAAAGCTCAATGGATGGATGGATGGATGGATGGATGGAGGATGGAGGAGGAGGGAGTGGCTGGAGGAAGTGACATGGGCTGGGATGGAGTGAGTGGGAGGGGAGAGTTTAGGGATTTGCGTGGCTCGACATCTGGACTGAAAAACAGGCTATTTCAGGACGGGATTTATACGTTTGGTTGCTACCTCAAATCCTGGGAGAGCGAAAGCTTAAAGCAAAGGTTATTGCATGAGGTTCTATCAGTGTCTTTAATCTCTCTTTTTTTATTGAAATATTGTCAGCACACCAATCTGAGTTGGAACTTCTGTATTGATATGCAATTCATTTGCAATATTGAACACATTTATGAATAAGAGACTGCAGTGATGTTTTTCTTTAGAAATTACACTGGCACAAACATTTTCAAGGTCTCCTTCTTCACAAACCATCTCATAGAGCCACTTTGTGTAGAGGTGATGCAGACGTACAGGTTTCGGTTTATTACTATATACAATCGTTTCTGAAAATGGTACCAAAAAAATTCCTTCAGTCCAACGTAACATCTTTAAATTTCTTGTTTTGTCCAAAAGTCCACAAACGAAAGATATTTAATTTCTAGTACATAAGACAAAGAAAGCTGTGAGCAAGACCTAATATTAAATTATTATATTATATTGTAGAAAAATAAGATTAGTTGATTATCAAAATAGTTGCCAATTAAGTTTCTGTTCATGACTAATCAATGAATCCTTCAGCTTTATAAACTATAATAATTACTGCTGTTGTGGTTTCTTTGTCTCTTTCTTGATCAACCAACTGGTTGCAGCATTAGCTTTGTTAAATACAATTAATTCAATTTTAGTTAGTTAATTGGTAAAGCTGATGAACAATAGCCTGAGATCTCATGGTTCATTGATCAAAGAAAGACATTAGTAACTTTTCAGAGGATTCCCTTAAATGTTACAAAACAGATAATGACTTTGGTTCCATCTGCCAATAACGCACGGAAACATTATGTAACCGCACTTTATTCTCGCCTGTAACGCCAGTGTACTCAGTCCATTTTGAGCTGGGCCCAATCTAGCAAGAGCAACAGCATCATTAATGATGTTTAGAGGAAAAGTACGCAATAAAGCATCAAACCACAACGAGAAAAAACCCTAGTCCCCCAACCCCTGGTCCCACATGCACTCTACAGTGAGTTCACTGCACTTTCACTGCGCGCTGCTGTGGTTGTTTCATCATTTGTTTGTTTGTTTTCCGGCAAGGTACCAAATAAAACGGAACTATCCGTGAAACTACAGCCCGACATTTTCTCCATCGATATCAGCATCTTTCACACTCTCCTGTATGATCAATAATCACCGCACTGTGCGCTGCGCAAAGCTGGACTTTTGCCGCAACCCACATGATGTTTGCGGCTTAAAGCCATCAGTCGCCTCTTCTCCCAGTTAAAACCAACATCCCAGAAACTTTTTCTCCCACTACGGAGTTACCGGTCTGAGGAGAGAGGATGGGAACCCGCAGCACGATGAGCGGCTGTGTCCCGCACAACAAAACTATCCCCAGAAAAAGCGTGAAAACGGGGGAAAGTCTGAGGTGGAGTGAGGAATATTTTAAAATAGGTGTGTACCTGTGAATTTTCCCCAGAGTTTTTCCCGCGACCGCCTTAAACCTGTCTGGTCGGATCTCCATCCTTGCAGCTTCTTGACCCGGCCGGTGTGCTGATGTCCCGCGCGCCCTCCTGTCCTGCCTGAACGCGCGCTCACAGTCCTCTCTCTCCCTCTATCTCTCCCTCTCTCATCCCTCCCTACCCCCCACCAGCCTCCACTCTCAGATGGCCCACAGAAAGGTGTCGGGCTTTTTTTCTGGTTCATCGCGAGTTATAGCATGCAGCCTGTGGTCTTTATTGGACATTAATAATGGAATAATTAATCACAAGTCTAAACCAATGATCGATATTTACCTTCCTGAGAAATATTCCCTCTACCCTTAAAAGGAAGAAGTTTGACAGGGGAAACTTAGTGGCAGGGGCAGTAAACAAACAAATGGCTTCTGTTATGATTTTATTTATATCGCATTATTAGAACATTTCTTTGCACTGCAGCCTCTTTGTTTTCTTTTCTTTTCGGTCTCTCAGGATGTTTTCATCTGAGATTTGTTCAGGCAGCCTATACAATCTAATTGATAAAGCTATAATTAAAGGGACTTCACCTACAAGTAAAACCTCGACTATAATTTAGTAAATTATATCAAAATATAAAATCTTCTTTAACATCTAAAAACATGTATGTGATTTGAAGACAAATTTGATTGGCAATATCATAAATTGCTAAAAGTTTAAATTACTATTCTGCACTTCCCACCATAGAAAACATTTCTATTCTTCAGTATTCTGAGACCTTTAACAATGGCACAGTAAAAACAAATAAACTTTGTGAAAAAATTAGAAAACCCCGTCAACATTTAATCTACTCTTTCACAACATAAACTATATATATATGTTTGTTTGTTTTTAAATCAAATGTCCATACATAAGGCCCCCATGAATATTCTCTGTGATCTCTTGAAGGCATTCTGTTTCATGTTTGAGTGCTTATGGTGTAAATCATAAAAGACACATCCAGTCAGGTTGCTGCCATCTAGAGGTTTATTTAAGTCCTCATCTAATACAGTACAATACTGTTACACTGAACTCATGTAAAAACATTGCTGAGGTCTTATGAGGTAAAATGATACAAATATAATGTAAAAGTTATCTTTACTGACATATTAACATCTGTCATTTCACATCCAAACAAATGAACACAAATGTTCAGACACACACACACACACACACACACACACACACACACACACACACACACACACACACACACACACACACACACCCTCAAGGTAGAAATCCATATTTGGCATTTAGCTAAAAATACTCATAAAGTATATTTTTGGCTGTTGCTGCCTTCCTTTAAACACCAGTCAACTCAGTTAAAAGCAGAAACAATAGACAAACCTGGTTTGACGTGCTGGCGGCTGTCAAACCACCAGTCTAATTTCTGACTCTAAAACCTTCCGTAAATTCTTTGTTTCACCAAATATAGCAGCTTGTTCCTTTTTCATCTGTGTTTTCATTTTCTGAACAGTATGATGATTCAAAAATTAATGGAGAGAGGTACAAGAAGGAGTTGTAGTTTCATCACTACAGAATCTAAAAAGCTTTTGGTTTGATTGGTAACGCACCATCAATAATATAAATAGTTAAAATAACTTGAATATGATAAATGGACGCAACCTAAAGACTCAGATAAGGAATAGCTGTGTTTATGACTGCCCTCCCTTCCCTTTGCAATCTCTCTTGCTCTTACACTCTCTGAGGTTTAACATTTAAACAGTTTGTCCTTTCACAAACATCTATCCTCCCACAGCTGTGCTCACACCCGTGTATCCAGTTCCTCATCTTCCTCCTCCTGCTGGGGCAGAAGCCGGTAGTGTTCGTTGCCCATCGGCAGGAAGGCAGTCCTGGGACGAGCCTCTTCTTCCTCAAGAAGGACTTGGTGGTGGGAGTTGGAATCCAGCTGCTCTGTGGAGCTGCACTTTGTGTACAACTCGCGGTGCATCTCCTGGCTGACTGCCTCTTCAGAGCCAGTATTACGGACACTGCGGTTCTTCAACATGGAATGGATGTAGCCAATAGGCACAGGCAAGCTGGCAAAGAGTATAAGCATGACAATCATTGCAAGGGCCCAGCCAGGGTACTCCAGAGTCATCTCAGAGGCCTGAACAGAGGAAGAGACGGAGCATGTCAGAGAAGCATGGGCAGGCACAATACTGCTCAAGAGTCAACCGTGTTTATCACAGTACAAACAACAGCTTGAAACAAATCAGAATTTGTTATAGTAGTTATTGAGTGCAGCTGGTATCTTGGTTTATATGTCCCCACAGATTGTAAACTATAACAGTGTACTTTGAAATTAAATTCTTCTGTGTAAGACAAAAAGCAGTGGTCCAGTATCTTACTGTGTTTTGATTCCAGGAAGTGTATGTGGGCCTTTTGAAGACCATACGCAACAAACTGGCAGCCAGAAGGCCAACCATCGCCAGTAAACACACATACTTCCAAAGATATTTGTAAACCACTGGAGGGCGCCATTTGAGCATCACTTCAATGTCATCCAGGAAGCTGTAGTGATGGAAAGTTGAAGTTTAAATGAGATGCTTCTTTTCAAAATAAGAAATAAATACATAATTTAATAGAGAAAAAACTTCCAGAAATGTGTCTTTCTTACCGATCTGTGCCGTAAACCCATGCCACACTAATGGTTTCAAAGATCACTACAATGACTAACGGTAGAGTTGCAGAGTAGTCATCAAACATAGTCACAAAATAGTTGCCTGAGCGCTGGGTGAACAACAGTCCCATTATGAACCCCAAAACACAGCTGAACACTGAAAAACAAAAAAGAATACAGATATTGTGAGAAAATAGCATTTATCTGAACAAACATGGTGTATATCTGAAATAAAACACGACTGTATTGTCAAAACCTTGTTTGTAAACGTTTGCAAACAGACATTTTTTGTGTAGTATTCAGAGGCAATAGATTTTTAAATTCTAAAAAAAAGTTAGAAAATGCTGACAGGCCTATTCAGTATACAGTCAAATACCAAAATGCACTGCCTAAGGAGAAATATTTCACTGTATAAATCTTTAACTTAACCATAAATGCCTGCATGTGATTCCCTGTAATACCAAGCATTGTTTGAACTTGTGTTCCTGTGTGTACGTTACCAGTGAGAAGGGTCCGATGGCGCCCCAAGAGGCCAAAATTGTCCATGAGAGGTGTGAGGATTCCTTGCATGGTCCCAAACATGGTGCTGAGGCCCAGGTTGAGCAACATTAGGAAGAACAGTGTGGACCAGAAGGGGCTGGCAGGGAACAGGGCCATCACCTCAGTGAAAGCAATGAATGCCAGGCCCGTCCCTTCAACACCCTGCAAAGGGAAGACAGAAGAGGTAGAGTGAATAAGTCGGAAAAATAGTTTAATAAATGTTGACTGCAGAGTACAAACAAGTATTTGGTGGCCGTGTGCACCTTCGGGCGATAGCACCATACCAGATGCCCCGCTGTAGCAGTCTCTGCAGTAGGGGTGAGGGGTATATTCAATGTGCCACCAGGGCCTCATAACCAGTGCTTTATGCTTTATACTTTATTTAATGCTGAACATTTAAAACTAGCTCTGAAAGGGCTTTGCACATTTATGGTAGATCCAAAGCTACATATCTGGCAGGAGAAGGCCAGAATATACTGCTCCTGTACCTCTGTACAGTGTAAACACTGTTAGATAACATGACTTTTAGTACCCCTTCCTTTGTTTCTTTAGTTTCTCCTTTCACTCCTCTATCACAGCATGCTTCCCTCTCCTCCAGACACCTACTAGATGCAGTGACCGATATGTTTTCTTCCTCTTGCCAGCAGGATATTTTACAATTCCCTTACAGATTCCTCGGGGGTCCTGGGAATGTCAGCACTCCACCTACTTACTATTGTTATTGAAATGTTCACCTCCCTGATTATTTTTAAGCCAGCCAGTGTCTACTCCGGCACATCATAAAGCAACCAGTGGTGATCCTTTTCACTTCTTGGAAAGCTAGTTTAACTATAGTACTGTATGTATAAAACAGGTTCTTGGAATTCTGATTTTCACCATGGGTAAAGACTACACCTTAGTGCAACATGACAGGCCTGTTTTTATACCAATGGTCACTCCATATTACTGAATATACTTAATATACTTATATAATCATTCTTCCAAGACCACCTTCACCTACCAGTCAGTTCTGCTTCACAATAAAACATATTTAATTAATTACTATTAACCTTCTTTGAAAAACTAATGATTGTTGTTGTTTTTTTTGTTAATTGTTATTGTTCACTAACTGTCTTTCAACTATATGTTTTGATTGTATTTGAAATTCTTTTTGTCTGTTAAATAATTCTCCTGAAGGTATTTTCTGCTTTTATCTCTTTGTTAAAGTCGTCAGATGCTTAGAACTCCTGTCTTGATATCCCCAACATAAAGAAAGTTCATTTAAATTATATCTCAATGATACCTTATTCATCTCCTCCTCCAGACTGCAGTCAGTGATGTTAGGACCCACAAAGGAGCTGTGGTGACTGTACCACTGCCTATATTCAACTAAAGACACAGAGCCAGGATCTGTCGTGTTGATCCAAGGCCAACCAAGGCTCTGGTAAGATTCATGGGGCGTCATGGTGCTTAGGTGACCAAGATTCCTGGAAGAGTTTAGAATAAAAGGATAATATAAGAAAGTAAATCACTCCAATGTTATGGTTAATTATCATGGTTAATTAACACGGCAAGTAATATTCCAACCTTGGGTGCTCTCATACTGTTGTATTTTATCAATCTGTGTTTGCCTTTAATACTTTCATCAACTGACTAATTGATTTTTTAGATTTACAATCCACTGCAAATATGACTGAACACATATTTAAAATATTTTTTTCTAGCCTTTAGGCAAAAATTCTTTGTGATTACGGCCTTTTTTAGTATGTTCCAATTATACAAATGTGAAATCAGTTATTTCGCCAGCATTAGAAATGATGTAGTTAATAAGGGGGCCAATATTATCAGTACCAATGGCAATATTGGCGCACACACATCCACACATCCGTACTCAGCCACACAGCGTAGTGCGATGTTCTTGGCACGGAAACCCAGCACAACAAAAACCACTAGTGAGGCCAACACAGAAGTCATGAAGTTGATTGCGGAGACCATCAGCGCGTCCCTGTGGCAGTTGTTGTGGACAGGATTGTAGGAGGAATATGCAATCACGGAGCCGTAGCCCAGTCCGAGGGCAAAAAACACTTGTGTAGCAGCCTGCCGCCACACCTGCACATTACCCCAGATTTCCAGCTGAAAAACACAGAAAATCAAAGTTTCATAAAGTCTAAGTTTAATTTCCATTTGGCATTGATCAGATGAGAGTAAATATAAAAAGGCAACAGAAATACAATTTAACATGAAATGTGTGCTTACTTTAGGGTAAAACATATAGGTGATTCCGTCGATTGCACCGTCCAACATCAACCCTCTGATCAGGAAAATAAAGAGCACCACATACGGAAAGACTGAGGAAAAGTACATCACCTAAGATTTGGAAAAAGGAATGGAGGATGATTTCTGTGCCAGACATTTTAAAAGAACAGTTTGACATTTTTGGCTTATTTGCTTTCTGGCAGAGTGTTAACTGAAAACTGTTACCACTACCATGTCCAAAGTCTGTCTCGTTTGACATAATGGACATATAGTGGATGAGCATACAGACACATGGGAACAGGGGTGCACTGCCGAGGTGCCCTTGAGCAAGGCAAGAAACTGTTCACTTCAGCTTTGTTGGAAACTATTTCTTGGCTGATCTTTGCTTGATTTTTGATCCCTGCTGGTAGATGAATTTTGTTGACTCTGCGCAAAGCCAGGCGCAGTTTCCACTCAGTTTCCAGTCTTGTACCGAACTAGGCTTACCAGCTGCTGGTTGTCGTTTATTTTTAAAAAGGTCCAGTTTGTAATGTTTAGAAAATAGCAGAAATAGAATATAATATTCATAGGTTTTCATTAGTGTATTTCCAAAAATGTCCTTTACAATGATAAAGTGTGCTGAAGTATTGGCTGTTGATGTAGGGATCCCTGGGGCAGGGGCGATAAAGGGAAGAGAGGATAACTCACCTTGGCAGAGGACTTGATGCCCTTGATCATAGCCAAGGAGACAATAGCCCAAGCAGCCAATAAACAGCCCGTCATAATGGGGTTGAACTCTCCGGATTCTTGGATGGAATTTGTGATGTTAAGGGCTTTCCGAAACCAGAAATAAGATGTTGGGGAAGAACTTGCACATTCTTTCACTGTTGATTGAGGACAGACAACCTTAAAGACATTGTACTGGCATCTACGTGACGTCTCATTATGATTAATTCTTGATTAAGTTATGTCATTACCTGTGCCGTTGGTGGTTACATCAAGTGGACAATGCTCCCATGGCAGAGGATACTGAAAAGAATTACCCAGGTAGAACAGGCTCCACGCAATGATAACATTGTAGTAAAGAGCCACGTAAAAACAGACCTAGAGGAAAAGAAAGGGTTCATGAATGATTGACTTAATAAATTATCAATATTTACATAGCAAGTCCTTGAGATATAGTATATGTGCTGACCTGTATATTGTTCTGTTTAAAAGTTATTTCAAGGTCAAAAATGTGTTTTCCAAGTACAACACAGCAAACCTCAGATTTTTTTCTAATGAATGTGTAACAGAGCAGCGAGGATAAGAAACCCAAAAAAACATGGGCGTCTGAGCATACAAGTATACGTCTGTGCACTGCATGTGCACAGAAAGTCCCACTTCTGTTTGCCTTGTTCGGTCTGTAGAGAAAAGTGTTATGCAACAAGCTGCCAGAACTACAGAGCAAGGCCTCTCTCATGTTACAGCATGGCAGGATGTCATCACCATCCTTTCTTAAGTATACATACAGCGCGGCTAGTGAATAAAAGAACATTGTTTACGGTAAGGTGATAAAAGAGGTAGCACATGCTTTGGCTTTTTAAGGAGACAAATGGAGAAAGTCAATATTTTCCATTCTTTAATCTCAGCCTAGTGTTCATAGTTAAAGCACACTGCAGAATGCGGGATTTATTGCTTCTCCATTTCCCCTCCAACTGAAAATGAAGTATAACTTTTTTAGACAGATATGAACAGTTCCATTCCAATCCCAGAAAAAGAAAATACACATACACACAAAAATTAAATCCTCACCATGCAGCTGGAGTAGCCGATCCCTGCCAGCTTTGGGGAGATGTGCTTCCAAACACCGATGCTGCCCTGTCGAATGCTCTGGCCAGCTGCCAGCTCCATAAAGAACAGTGGAACTCCCACAATCAGTAAAAGAAAAACATACAGCAGCATGAAGGCCCCTGGAGGGAGGGAAGCATGGTTTATAAACATGAAGGCATATATAAAGGAGTTTATTATGTGATGTGTTGTCTTGCTGTGGTTTCCAACATCATAATTTCCATATAAACAAAGTAAAAGTTGTCAGCTACCGGTTTAAAAGAGAGCCACTGTGATCATTTCTTTACAGACACTCACCTCCTCCATTTTGGTGGCAAAGGTAAGGGAACCTCCACACATTCCCTAGGCCCACACTGAACCCCACCTGGGCCAAAACATACTGGATCTTCGAGTCCCACGCTGGCCGGTCTTCATCGGGTGTCTCAACTCCATCTAGACCATCCGCATTTGTAAGCTGAGTTTCAGACTGACCCTCGCTCAGCCAGACTCTGTCCTCACTGCCGTCCAGTGGAGGTTTCTCTGTCTTGTCATAAACAAAAACGAAGAGCGATAAGCTTAACTGATAAGCTAAATACGTTTCTTATTGACATGGGACGGTAGCCAGATCAAATTTCAACATCATATGTTATGCCAAGAAACCTTTTTGCACATGGAAAAGAGATATATATATTTGAACAGATAAACTTTTCCAACCACGCCTGCAAACAAAACAATGTGTGTATAGTAAGAATCTATTTTCAGGTTGGCCTAAATCAAGCGTTCTGCATCACATGGAAAACACTGAATGTGCTTTCAAGATGTCTGTTTCACATTCCAGATACCCACCGAGTCCGACTTATCACTTATCTGGCACCACAACAGTCTGTAACAATATGCAAGGGGTACAGTGTCTGGGGGGACTGACTTAAGACCACTGACAGTCTAAAGGAGGGAATGAGAGAGTGTGTGTGTTAAACTCTGGCCTCCACCCCTCACCTGCCATGTGTAAACATAATTGTCATATGTGGTGTAACTCATGCAGCACTCCACTTTCATAAATAAACAAGGAGCATATGGTCCATGTGGAGAAAAGGGAGACACTGAGATCATGTCTGTACAGTGTGCAGTGTCTAAACAAAACTAAAATAGTTAACTTTAAAGTTTTAATGAAAGCAATATCATCTAGCAATAGCTATTCACTGTATTACATTCTGTAATATGTTACGTTCTGCCATACCTGAGCTTGACTCAAACTCAAATACACAAGAGATTCACAGGAAATGATGCATGCATCTAATCCAGCATCACCGTTTTTAATTTTATTCTGTGTCATCTTCTGTAGTTTGTTAAAGTTATCCAAATGAAAAAAGACTAGAGCTAGATCTGAATTATCTGCCATTTAAATAAAATGAACAGAAAATGTCAGGGTTCACTGTTGAAAAAGAATAATGAAACTCTGCATGCCAAAGAACACCAGACAATACACAGCACTACGCACTCTCTCTAACAAAGTTAACTCAGATGAGTGGGCAAGATCCAATACAGCTTTACAAGTACCAAACTGGCTTTAGGACGTGACCTAGCTAGATGGTTTTTGTGTGCCACGTTTGCTATCAGCTGGTGAGAATGGAAAATTACAAGGGGTTCATGACCCAGAAAAGTACGTGGCTGGTCAAGACACATGTCCAGATAAGTCAGGTGATTTTAGAAATTCGCACACACACACACACACACATACACATACACATACACATACACATACACATACACACACACACACACACACACACACACACACACACACACAGTGAGAGAGAGTGACAAAAATACGCATGCACACACAAATAGAGAGGAGGGGAAGTGGGCAGAGCAGGAGCCACTGCAACTCTGGTTGAAGGATAGGATAGTCTTGGGTGACATATGGGTGGGAGAACCCACTGGGAGGTGTTAGTTTCACATTGGTTCACACTGTGGGTGGTGCCGAGGTGCATGGGTGGACCATGTAGTGGATATAGTTGGTAACAAGGCAAGAGAAAGGTTATTGGAATTAATTTCAACATTTTGAAGACCCGTTTATCATGGACCAAAACAGACTGATGTTGTAGGAGTGGTGTCAAACACCATCCCACAATTAGCTGATAATCAAGTAATCATATATCTTAATTATTAAGCAAATAAATCACTGGTTCCAGCTTTTTAAATGTGAGATGTTAGCTTTTGTTTTGAACTGTTAGACATGACGAAAAATATTCTCAGATAGAAACTATTATACATTAATCAATTACAATAACTGCTCATTGCAGCCCTAAATTAAGTTAACATTGGATAGTGATCCAACAAGGTTACCTGAACCACGTTTAGCTGTATTACTATACTGTTAACTGATAACGGCTGCTATCAGAAAGCTATCAGATCTGTGAGTAACCTTGGTAGAGTCAATCTATTTCCTTTCAAAGAAAAACAAAATGCCATTCTGAAAACAAGAGAAGCAACCTGATCCCAAAATGTAAAGTCGCACAAACAGACCTGTACATAAATGCAGATCCAGTTACACTCTTAGTGACATCGACAAGTTTGCAACAACAGCAGGCGTGTATCAGCTCTTCTGGTAGTTTGTTGATAATGAAGCAATTTACACACAGTTGTAATTTGTTGTAAACTGAGAAGCTGTTGTATTTCTATTTTGCAAAAGAACCTTCATATTTTTAAATTTCCTCCTCTTTTTCTATACTCAGCTAATCTTAAATTATCTTTTCTTGCCCCATACCCCTTTCCCCCAGCGCACACACACACACACACACACAGTGTGGTTATACATTTTTGTCTATTGGTCAGTCAGGGTCTATCTCTGGGTACAGTTAGGAAACAGGCAACCACACTTCTGAACTCAGTGAACAGTAATAGTAAAATGCAACCTGACTTTCATATTTAACGTAAATGATCTTAGATTTATTTTAGAACGTGTTCAATTTTGTTGAACCTGCTGCAGTATGGTATATTGTGTATTGGACATATGAGGAGTAATATAATGCAGTTTCACCTCTAACTACAACGTCAAAAATAACCTTAAAGTTATTATAAAACACCTCTGTGACTCAGTGTTAACTGAAAAAATACAAGTTCACAAAGTATTTTCACATGACTGTTCTCTTCTCAGTGTAGTCAAATGTATTTTTACTGTGGAGAGACTTATAGATATCTGGAGATCCATAAACACAGGTTACTCAGACAGTTAGGGCTTTCTTCTTTTGCAGTCTATAATAAAAACACCAAAAGCCATGATCAGCCTTTATCTAGTTGGATACCTACTAAAACTGTATGAGAAGTTATACATATTACTGTGGAACTCTGGGATATGCCATTTCTTTTTGCCTTTGTCTTTGGGATTGTGCCACTACAATTAATCAAAATAATTTTTGCCTAATGTTTATATAATGAATTCAGCGTGTCCATTACAGAAACCATTGAACAAGAGATTGATAGAAGATCAGTTTGCATATTTAATGATAAAGTGGCACACATGTCACACATACTCAGTATGTTTATGAGGATGAATACCTAAACCAGCATGACAGACACGTGTCTCTGTGTCTGCAGACACCCTAACCCTCCACAAACAGGCAGAATAAAGCCCCTTTCACACATGCAGTTTTGCATGTTGACATCATGTTTGAGAAGGAGCCAGAGTCAAGTCTCTCTAGGCAATCTGCCAACTCAGGACCTAGTAACCTGTCTGTAAGGCTTCCATCTTGGCTCTCATTCAAATTTCAACTCTCATTCAAACCAACTGCTACAAGACGAAGATCAGATCACAAAACCTGCAACGTCTTGTAAACCTTAATAATGTTGTTGTGTCAGTACTTAAAATTAGTAACACAAGATCTATTCCAGTGTCGACATCGCCTTGTGCAAACCATTACACAAATAACTGTCAACACGAGGGCAATCACAAACTATAAGAAAATAATCTTGAGGATCACCTACAAAAAAACTTAAAGAGGCAAACAAGGCGTTTTCTGCTGTCAAGTAAATCACAGCTGTAGCACAACAGCATCAAGGTGATGTAGAACTATCAGCTATAATCCACCAGCAAACAAACAGAGATCACTCAAGTTTCTTTGGTCACTTTCTTTACCTTGTTTCAGGGTTAGAATTTTATCTCAGCATACATTTAATGAAAGGAAAAGGGCCAACACCCTGCACAGGTATACACTTGCAAACACACATAAGATCCGCTTCCCCGAACATGCACACACATATGCACAGTGTGTATGGTGGGGCCCAATGTGATATATATTCATGGGGCCCAAAATCCCTGTGGAGCCACCCCACACCCCACCGCCAAACACCCCCCCCCGTATTGCATAAACTGAGTAGCCATCAATCATGAGCACACTCACTAATTTTTACCCCTTCTGTGTAGTTTATTGCCTATGGGAGATCATGGAAAAATACCTCGACAAGCAGTCTGTCTCACTATATATGTGCCAAAAACATACAGGCTACAGTTTGCAGACACATGATGGTAACTGGTGTGTGGGCTCTGTACTCCATCATATGTGATTTAAAATCAAACAGTGATTATAAAGTCAAAGTGCTGCTTTTCAGATTTACATCCACATCAGATTCAATGATCAAACTTAAAGTCAATGCCTAAAAATGAATAAATTATAGAATGGTTTATAGTACAGAAACATTCCTGTACAGATACACTGACAGTTGTTATGGGAGTTAAAATATATCCCCGAGCACAGCAGGGGTATTCCTGGTAACCAATGCACAGAAACTCTGCAGCAGTGGGGAGATTATCCAAAGTGAGGCAGACCGCAGTCATCAGGACTGACTGAGTAACGGACAAAGGAGTCTGGTTGTTAGCGGTAAGACAACAAACTGTAAGTGACAAGAAAAGAGAAAATGACAGTTCAGTAGTAAAAACAAGAAGTGAACATTAAAAGCAATTAGTCACCGGAGCTCACGAAGTCCCGTTATTAAAGTGCAGTTTAACGCTGTTTAATGTTGTGGACATACCATGCTGACTGCACGGTCCAAGAGAGGAGTAAAGTTTCCAGTCCTGGTGTTGGTTTCTCTGCTCGCCCCCTCTTCGTCCCTTTCTGTCAAGGCAACTTTTAAACTCTTCCTCCTCGCCTGGGTTTTGATATCAGTCGTGCTCACAAACAGGACGAGCAAGGGGGAGAAAAGTCTCGACGGGATAGTTTTGACAACTTGTGGCCACGTTTTAGTGTTGGAACAAACTGTCTGTCGTCGCCAACCCGAGCAGATATGAAGAAAGTTTGTGCAGCTTGAGCCAATGGGGAGGATGAGGGGGCTGAACGGCCCTTCCCCAAAGCGCTCAGCGGGGTTGGACTACAAGAGTGCAAACTGCTGGAGGTTCCTGTGCGCGTCCCACACACACACACACACACACACACACACAAAACAAAACAAAAGAGAACTTGTGCCCTTACTTGGGCCACAGCTCTATACATTGCATTTAGTTTGCAGAATATTTAAAAGCAAGCCGACGATGATAATTGTGCATATATTCTTACAATAAGTAGGCTCCACCACAGAGCGCAGAATAAAAATGCGCAAACTGTCTGCGCCTGATGAGCGCCCAATTAACTCCCAATTAAATCCCCCCAAAATAACTCCCATCAGCTCAAGCAACCGACTGCACTGATTGTTCCTGCATTCTGCAACAGAAACTGAAGGAAAATACAGTTCAGAGGGATTTGTGTGAGACCAGCAAACTCATAAAACAAGATAATTAATTAATACCGATTCTAGCTTCATATGCCTTAATGTAAAGATGTGGGAAAAAAGAAAATAAAGTCATATTGGCTCAGAAAATATTGGCGTATGAAACACTGGCATAAACAACTGTGGTCCCTCTGCTGAGCTAAAATAGTTAGTGGTAAATTCTCACCCCTATATGCTCTGTTACTGTTCTCAGCCACCTGTTGGAAAAGGTCCATTCCCCCTGGTGGACAAAATGTGCCAAGATAAACCTAAATAGCACAAATGAATGAATTCAGGAGTCCACATATGTATGCATTGAACCTTATGGTTCCTGTGACATTGGGTTGCAGACCAGTTTTTTGAGGTAGATAAACAGGATAAATGTGTTACATGTGTTTGTTATGTGTATATTTCTGCCTGTTTTTGTAACATTTAGGGCATATCCAGATGATACAGACAGCCTGTGATGAGGAAAATGTTTGAACTGCCATTTGAAAAGGGCACTTTTGTGGGGGATTTCCTCCTGTGTATGTCACTGGGACAGCCTCCCTCTGCTGTTGGGATGCAGATTACAAGTGTCCTTCCACAAGTCAAAGCTTGGAATGAATGCAAGGCTCACCTCAGGACAGTAAATCCAAAGTTAAGTGGAGATCAAATGAAAAGCTCTTAGGCTGGGATAAGACCTGTTGTTGCTTAAAGTTATGTGTATCATATCAGCAGTAATACATGCAAAATTGCTCTTTTTTTAGATGAATTTAATCATAGGAAAAATTTTATTTCAGCAGACTACCTGCCTAATTTGTCTGAGAACATACTGGAGTTGTCTGGCTTTGATTCAATCCAGGTGGGCAGCAGAGATTATTGTCTGTTCATATTATGTACAGTCAACACTGGATCCTCCAAGCAGTGGAGCAGCTGGCCTACAAATGAAGACAACTGAACCATAACAGGAAAGGGCTATACAAATACACCCAAACCCCACCAGTTTGTTATTTATGCTGTCCAAATGTCACAAAGTCAAGACAAGATCAAGGCCTTTGTCTCTGATATTGTCCTGATATTATAAAACAGTATAGAAATTAATAGATTTTATACTAACTGCTGATAGTGCAGTGTTAACAGTGGTATGATACTCATAGATTCAGTATGCAGTGCCAAAACTAGAGGCTTTTTGGAACAACCTACTGAAATCATGACGCACACCATCAACGCTTTGATTTTCAGTTTGAACGCCTGTTTACAGTTTACAGTCAAACGTGAGGAGAGCCTCAGGGACGGGTTGAGACTGACCTGTCACAACCAGATGGTGTCACTGTTCACCAACAGCTCAGTTTTCCCCAGTATCTTATCCCTATGCCTGTTTTAAACTCTTGTATCCAAGAGTATTTTACCTACAGTATCTATGATAAAGACACCATCCTAAATTAAATGTGTTCTCAACCCCTCTTTGTTTTTCCTCTGTCTGCTGAACATCTGTCAAACTGCTGAAGATTACTGGAGCCAGCTGCTCTCTATCAGAAACTAGATATTCAATGTTTCATCTTTTCCCACACATTCTCATATATCATTTAATAGACTTCCTGTCTGTTGTTGTAAACACACTTATTGTTCACAGTCAATATTTGGATATTCTTGAAGAGCCTAAACAGACTTTGTTCTCTGTTATTTTCTGAAATAATTATGCACTTCTTTACTTTCTACCAACACATTTTTTTTATTTCCAAAATTTCATTCACAGATTTTAAGTAGATTAAATGTTTCAAGGTTACACAGTTTCCTTTGATTTCCCTTAGCTTCTCTTTAAAGGAGAGGCAGGTACAGTACAGGACAAAATGGCTGATTTATTATGAAATAATACGCAGGTGGTTTTATAGCCACAAAGGGACGTCCTCATAGGAGGGAATGTTCAAATCAAATGAGTTAAGACAAATTAAATAGTACATTTTCTCCTTTGAGAAAAATCCAACCCAATTCAATTTCATTTAAAACATTAATTTCTTTTTATTCATATTTCTGAATTTGAACTTTTCATGAACTTTATTCACCTCTTAGCCTTATCTTGGCTTTGGCTTCATTGTTATAATCTCAAACGAAACTTGGTGTCTTAATTTATGGAGGTGGGGAGTTTGAAGAAGACTGCATTACATTTCTCGAATGGCATGTGTTTCAGATCACATTAGCCCCTTGGCACAAGCCATAGGCAATTGTTGATGGAAGTGTCTGTCACAAGGAAGGAGAGGCTACACAAAGATGCAGAATGGGAGGGAGGGAGCCTGTATACGTGTGTGTGTGTGTGTGTGTATCAGAGAGTCAGAGAACAGTGAAAGCAGCACAGATTAACTGCGAAAAGCCAGACTAGTTTTTCTCGTTTCTGCATATCTCAAGAAGGTGGGACGTCCTCATGTAAACAGCTAAGCTTAGTGCACATACAGCTCAGCACGAGGATTGGTGTCTGTGCTACGGATTCAAACACGCACTAAAGGTACAGTGATGTTTAAAGATTTTTAAGTGTTAACTTTGTGGAAACAGTGTGTGTGTGTGTGTGTGTGTGTGTGTGTGTGTGTGTGTGTGTTTGAGAGAGGGTTAGAGAAGGGCAGCTGCTTTTTCATATTATGTCAGTAATATGTTGCTAAGAGGAGACTTTTGAAGCAGCTTCCCTTTAACCACAGATTAGAATATTTAACAGTTTGTAAATGCATGACAGGCTTTGTCCGTGCATAAACTTTTAAAGCTTTAAATATTTAATTCACCGATTCACCAATATGTTGAAGGGGGAGGGATGACACAGGAAAGGCAGGAAGTAGAGGAAAAGAGATGAGGTAAAAAGCTACACTGTGTTTACATTGCACAGACTTGTGATGAACTGATCTTCATATTCAGCTGGCGCAGTTTCTTTATCCAGTTTTGGTGGTTGTGTCACCTGCATACCGTACATCTGGTGACAGTGGTTTTTCCTGTCGTGTGTATTCGTCACACAGTGTGCAGACTGAATACTCAGCATTTTTACAACCAGCTTGGGGAATGCAACAATATAGAGCTCTCATTCATAATTTTTTAGGATATTCACACGAAGCTAAGATAAGCTTGTTTTGATCGGTTGGGTTAAGTTGATAAAAATCTTGAACATGATCTTCAGTGTCCAGCTAGGAAAGTTAAAATCAAGCAATACTAAGATAAAGTAAAGAGTGCCAATACAACATTGTCCAAGGAACAGGAAATAAGGAGTTAGAAAAATCACACAAAAGGTGATCAACCGGTAAACATTTAGAAAGAAAAATGTTTATTATACTTCTACTATCCCCTACTGTATGGAAATGTTTGATTTTACTCTGCATCAACACACAACAGATGTCTTCCCCACCTCCGGTGATCCCTAGGAGGTATTCAGGTGTCCGAGTCATGATAACTCCAGGAGAGCAGCCTCCTCCTGGTGGGCTGCCCATCTACTCATATTCTAGCAAAGGTATATTGACCTAATGTGTATGTGTGAGAATGTGCTGCACATGTTATCCTGCTGCTTGCAACTGACCTGTTTTTGTGTGTCTTCTTTAATGGCTTTGTTCTTCCTCTGCTCAGAGAATGGTATCAGTGAGGAGTCAAATCATACATCTCTACTGAATGCAGAGAAAGAAGTGGTATGTGCTCGCACAAATAATTTATATATTCTCTTGTATACATGCATATATCTGGGTCAATGGGTTGATGAATAAAGCTTACAAATAATCAATAAGATCTAAAAGCCAAAGGAGATGGCAACCTGAAGATTAGTATGTGGTCCCATCAAGTCTAGTCAGTAAGCCACATTTCCTGAATTACAACTGAGAGAAGTCATAACAGCTGTGATGGTGAGGTGAATACTATATAGTATTTTAATTTTAATAAATACAAGACATTAAAATATGTTAATGTGAAATCTTCCATGCATATTTTGCTCAGAATATAAAAAGAAATGTACATAATGTTAATTTATACAAAATTAACACATTATTTAAGGTGGGCTGAGTCCTTACCACTGCGTCCTGGGTTGGTTTCCAACCTGTGGCCCTTTGCTGCATGATGTCCCTCCTTCTTCCCTCTCCACCATTTCAAAGAATCATGGAAATGTATTAATCATTATACAACACAAGGCTGTATGACAAAATGGAAGTTTGTAGTTCCTTCATGCTACACAAATAGAAAAAGATGATCAAAGTCATAGAATAACATAAAAGATAAAAATCATTTTTTCACTTATTTTACACTTTTAGTTGACTTGTGTTAACTGATATTACAATTAACCACCAACTACCAGCGTCCACATTAAAACAAGAGTCAGTATGACTATAGAGAGAGGTAATGGGGAGGATTGGACTTTTTAAACTCTAACAAGAGCCTTTTACATTACTCTGAAGGAGTATACGAAGAGGCTACATTTTGAAGTTTGAGTTGACCTCACCTATGTGACCAATAGTTACAAACTGCAGCCTTGCAGTAATTTCTATCCAGTGATGGTTATAATGTTCAGTATTTGTTTATTGAGACAGGTCCAGGTGTTACTTGAACTCCATTATAATCTTTAATACAGTCTCAAATATTAAACATCATAAACAT